GGAGGGGGGAGGGGATAATAAATTATCTATACATATAAAAGCCTAAGCGACTGGAATGACCGATTGCTCTGACGTGCTCTGACCACCAGGGGGCAGATGCTCAATACAGGAGCTTCCCTCTGGTGGTCAGTGTGCACCCACAGCCACCCTCCCCCAGCCAGCCAACCTCCCGCAGTTCCTCCCCTTGACCCCTGGGCTGGGATGGGGATCCAGGGGTGGGTGGTGGTGGACACAGCCCCTTTCCCAGGGGGGCCGAGGGCCAGCTCCCTCCTCGGGGCTGGCAGCCAACCTCCTGTGCCCTGTCCCTCCCCCCACTGCTGACAGGTTCCAATCAGCCTGCTGCCCGCCCACTGCAGTGGCGGTGCAGTGGCAAGGGAAGGAGGAGGGGGGAGGCAGGGAACTATGTGGCGGCAGAGCGCCGACGATGGCCATGTCAGCATCCAGCGTCCGTTCCTTCCACGCCCAGCCCAGCAACCATCGCCTCCTCTCTGGCCCAGCCCTGATCGGCCTGGCCCCAATTGGCCCTGAACACCGGCCAGGCCTAGGGACCCCACCCATGCACAAATTTTGTGCACCGGGCCTCTAGTTAAGTATAATTAAATAAGTGAATAAGCAAATTATAAGTTACAAAAATTAAAAAAGCAGCCAGGTAGCTTATTTGGTTAGAATCAACCTGATATGCCAAGGTTGTGGGTTTGATCCCTGTCAGGGCATATACAAGAATCAACCAATGAATGCATAAATAATTGGAACAACAAATCAAGATTTCTCTCTCTCTCCCTTCCTCTCTCTCTTTTTTCAATAAATAATTTTTTTAAAAAGCAAGATACAATATTATATTTAATTGTACCAGGTAAAAGTATGCCTATTTTTTTTAAAAAAAGGAAATAGGCAAAATCTTAATACTTACATTAGAGTTTAAGATTTTTATCTTGTTAATGTGTTTCAAATTTTCATTAATATTATTTAATTTGGTTATTTAAAAATAAATTCAGATTTTTAAAATGAATAAAGAAAAGTAGTCCACTCAGTTGTAGGACATCAATTTTTTGATGAAAGGCTGAAAATAAGAACTTGTTGTTTGGCCATCTGGTGCCCCAAATTCAGAGGCAGAAATTTTAAGGGCCCAAATATATATGTCTATGTATATGTATTGTATATGTACATACCCATGACTTGATGAATTTTCACAAACTGAATGCTCTGTTTTTGATATTTACACTATTGTTCTTTCTCATCCCTTAGATCCTGAATTAAATGTCATATCCTCAAGAGAGACCTCCTCTAACCACCCAATCCAAAGTATCACTATTAATTTATTGATCATCTATGATGTACCAGTATGATTTCCATCAGAGTGGCTCTCAAAGTACAGTCAGGGATTCCAAGGGTCCTCAAGATCTCTGCCAGGAGTCTATGAGGTCAAAGCTGTTTTTGTAATCATACAAAGTCATCCTTTGTCTTTATATTCTCATTCCCTTATGAGTGTATAGTGGAGTTTTCCAGAGGTCACAACATGGGTGATGACCTCTCTCCGGTGGCTATTAATAAAATGTGTGCTTAACTGTTCTTGTGTTTTAATTTTTTTCAGTTTTTTCTAACACAGTAAATATTGATAGATATAACCCACATTTGGGATCCTCAATAATTTTTAAGAATGTAAAGGGTTCCCGAGACCAAAAACTTTAAGAACTTTGCTCTATTGCTTCATTTTATTACCCCTGTTAAAGAAGTAGTCTGCATAGCCCTTTCCCATCAAATTAATTTTAAAAAATTTTAATTTTTTTATGTGAGAAAGAGAGAGAGATGTATCAATTTGTTGTTCTACTCATTTATGCACTTAAGCACTCATTGGTTGACTTTTTAAAAAAAAATCCTCACCTGAGGATATTTTTTCCATTGCTTTTTAGAGAGAGTGGAAGAAAGGGAGGGAGTGGGGAGAAAAGAGAGAGAAACAATAATGTGAAAGAGACAAATTGATTACTTGACTCCTTTATGCACCCTGTCAGGGCTGGAGATCAAACCTGCTACTCAGGTATGTGGCCATGTCCAGGAATTGAATCTGGGATCCTTTGGTGTGTGGGCCAATGCTCTAACCACTGAGAACACTGGCCAGGGCTACTGGGTGATTCTTATATATGCCCTGGCCAGGGATTGAACCCACAATCTCGGGGTATCGGGATGATGCTCTAACCAACTGAGCTACGTGGCCTGGGCTAACCCATATACTAAATGCCTTTTCCCTAGACCCGTGGTCGGCAAACTGCGGCTCTTTGGCCCCTTGAGTGTGGCTCTTCCTAAGCCTTAGGAGTAACCTAATTAAGTTAATAACAATGTACCTACCTATATAGTTTAAGTTTTAAAAATTTGGCTCTCAAAAGAAATTTCAATCGTTGTACTGTTGATATCTGGCTCTGTTGACTAATGAGTTTGCCGACCACTGCTAGACCATCAGCATCATGAGAGTAGAGACCTGACTTATCTTGTCTACTGTGTATTTTAGAGTTGCAAATAGGGCCTGGCACATAATAGTTGCTCAATAAATATGTATTTAATAAATGAATAGGTGAATGGAAATGAGACAGGAAAGGAAAAAACAATTTTAAGTTAAAAACAATCCTAAAGATGTATAATAATGGGACTAGTAAACGTTATTTGTAGTCAAAGGAAATATGAATTTAAAATAATATTATTAAAATACTTAAATTATTAACAAAGATCTAAAGATCAGCAATACACAGTGTTGCTGAAGGTCTGATGAAGCAGGGACTGTCATTTCCTACTGATGGGAGTGTCTATTATTACATTCTTTAAAAAGTAATAAAAGTCTTAAAAAAGCTTTACCCTTTCCCAAACAATAATTACACTTCTGGTGATACTTTTAAAGGAAATAACTTGAAATACCAAATGTATTATTTATAGTAGTAAAAAAAATGAGAAAAAAACTAAATGTTCAAAAATGCTTGAATGGTTACATCAATTATAATATATCCATTTACTGAAATATTTTGCAGCCATTGAAAATAACACTTGTAATTCATGTTTAATAGCATGGAAACAGGATTATATTTATAATTTAAATAAAAAAGCATGATTAAAATGTATAAAACCTTACCTCAACTATACAAAATATGTACTGAAAAGGCTGTCATGAAATACATAAAAATTATAATAATAGACATCTCTAGGTGGTAGGACTGTGGATTATTTTTATTTCTTTTATATTTTTCAAATTTCTCACAATAAGCCTCCATTATTATAATAACAAGAAAGTTATTGTAAATCATAGTATAAATTCTAACAATTTAATGGACAAATAAGATGTTTAAAGTTACATCTCAATTGTTAAACCATAAGAGGTAAAACTGGAGAGACAAAATGGCAGAAAAATCAGAACTGGAGTGTCATGAGTTAATCTGTCTCAGTTTGACCTCTGAGCTAGCAACTCCCTTAAACCCAAAATCTCAGTGTCTTTACCTACAAGGTGAGATAATAATAGTACATATCAACAAGGGTGGTTGTCAGGATTAAATTTGATATATATTATATGTCTTAGCCCAGTACTAGGTAAGCCTCAATAACATTAATCATTATTATTGTTACTAGTGGCCCGATGCACGAAGATTCATGCAAGAATAGGCCTTCCTTCCCCTGGCTGCCGGTGCCGCCTTCGCTCTGGCCTGGAGCTGCCTTCCGCCTCTCGCCTTGTCGTGTCAATTTGCATATTCCCTCCTTATTGGCTGTGGGCACTGCCATTTTTGTTGTTAAGTTACAGTCAATTTGCATATCCCATCTTTCTTAGGATTATAGTACTTAACTACTTTTTAAAACTTATTTTATTTTTATTTTTATTTTCATTGATTTCAGAGAAAGGGAGAGGGAGAGTGAGAGATCAAAACATCAATGAGGAAATAAATCTTTGATCATTTGCCTCCTGCATGCCCCACACTGGGCATATGCCCTGACCAGGAATCGAACCATGACCTCCTGGTTCATAGGTAGATACTCAATCACTGAGCCACACTGGCCTGGATAACTACTTCTTCATCTAGGTATATTTCAGAAAAAGAAATCTAAGATCTCTTTCCTTCAAGATTGCTCAGCCAATCAACATATACTGACAAGATCAAAGAGATCTGCTTTTCATAGCTCTAGAGTCCCCAAAAGGAATATTCAGAACACAAGTCTATGTGGAAATTGGTAAAAGCTAATAAACACCAATGAGGTGTTACTAGCCTTTAAACTTTAAGGGTGGCTATAAAAGGCAGGGTCAGTGACAAAAAGCTCTGGTTGTCAGACTCAGCTATGATTGGGGGCAGTTAGCAACTATGGGAAAGTTTTCTCACTGCCCTCCTTGGGCCACAGTGATAATTCTGTCTTTGTATTCTGTATATTGTTCCTGTCTCCTCCAGTGCCAAGTGTTGGGGAAGCCCAAGTCATCAACTTGGGTGCCATCTTTGACACCGCTCTCTCCTTCTACAGTGGTCAATTATCTCTAAGTCCTACTGTTTTGACCCCCTAACCATCTCTAATCTGTCCAATTCTCTCTGTCCTCATTGTTACACCCTAAAACTACAATATCCTTGATTGTCTGCCTTCTGTCCTGCTCTTCTTCAATCTATTTTCCCTGTAACAAGATCTTTCAAGAATTCAGTTTTATCATGCCCCTTCTGTTGTGAAAGTCTTTTAATGGTTTGTCATTGCTATTGCTCTTTGGATAAAGTCTAAACTCCAGCTTGCCTTGGTACCCTCCCTATCTCTAATTGAATCATGTTCAAATCCTTGAAAGAAACAGGGCTCTCCATTCTATATTGTCTTCCTGCAACACTCTATGCTCAAACCCTATTGTGCTCCCACTTATAAGTTATGAACTGAATGTTTGTATCCCTCCAAAATTCTTATGTTGAAGCCTCAACCCCCAATGTGACTGAATTTGGAGATAAGGTAATTAAGAGGTAATTAAGGTTAAATGAGATTTTAAGAGTAGGACTGTTAGTTCCGTGTCGCCTCTGACTCCCCATTCTAGCCGCACCCCTGGGCCCATGGCCGCCTACCCCTACCACCTGGGCCCCGGGACTGGCCCAAGCCCCGGCCCACCCGTGGGCGCGGCACTGCCGGACCAGAGCTTCCTGTGGAACGTCTTCCAGAGGGTTGATAAAGACAGAAGCGGGGTGATATCTGACAATGAACTTCAGCAAGCACTCTCCAATGGCACCTGGACTCCATTTAATCCTGTGACTGTCAGGTCAATCATATCAATGTTTGACCGTGAGAACAAGGCTGGTGTGAACTTCAGCGAGTTCACGGGCGTCTGGAAGTACATCACAGACTGGCAGAATGTCTTCCGCACCTACGACAGGGACAACTCGGGGATGATTGACAAGAACGAGCTCAAGCAAGCACTTTCAGGTTTTGGCTACCGGCTCTCTGACCAGTTTCATGACATCCTCATTCGCAAGTTTGACAGACAAGGACGGGGACAGATCGCCTTTGACGACTTCATCCAGGGCTGCATCGTCTTGCAGAGACTGACAAATATATTCAGACGCTACGATACAGATCAGGACGGCTGGATTCAGGTGTCATATGAACAGTATCTCTCCATGGTCTTCAGCATCGTATAACACTGTCCTTTTATAAATAGCAACATGACTTACGGAAAAAAAAGACTGAAAATGCCAAATCTCTTACCGTTAGTGAAACGGAGCACAAATGCAGTTGTCTTTATATAGTTAATATTTGGGGACCCAACTGTACATATGTGGATAATCTGATTAACATTTTTGCAGTTGGAACAATAGTCATATTGTTATTCAGATACAGGCATTTGATTTGGGACCAATTGTGCCATGAGGTAAGATATGATAATGTTTCAGGTATTCTGCATGTCAAACATTTATCATGTGCTTTTCTATGTAGCTCCAATTCTATAGTGGAAATACTTTTATTAGCCAATAGGAATTTTAAAATAATACAGAACTTGCACAGAAGACTTTTCATGTGCCTTACTTTTTAAAAGGGGTTTATTGTATTCATTTGAATATGCAAGGTATGCAATAAAGCAATATACCCCTTGTCCCAGGCCATCTCTGATGTGCTCATGAGTGGAGCTTCAAGGGGCTCTGGATACCTTGAGGTCATTTTCGGTTGTCCGCATGACTCACTTGTGGAAATGCGTAGATATAATTGGTCCTCTTACAAGAGTGTGTTTAAATTTCATAGAATTCTTTGAACATAAAAATCCAAATGTAGTTTAAAAAAAAGTGGGACTGTTATCCAATAGAATGAGTGTCCTTATGAGACACCAGAGCGCATACTCTCCTCTTCCTCTCCCCTCTCCCTCCTCTCTCTTTTTTTCCTGCTACCCCGCAAGCCCTCATGTGAGGATGTAACCGGACAATCAATGGATTTGTGCTGCCTGTCACTACTTGAGACAATTAAACAGAGACAGGGTTGAATCATATGAGTGTCTATTCCAATACTGCTGGCAGTATGGGAGAGCAGCAGGTCATCCACAAAAATCTTCTCTGTCCCCACCATAAACCAGCTGCTTATATTGGGTAGAAGGACAAGGATTACATGGTGAAGTAGGCAAAAGGCATGCCAAATGGACAGTTTACAGGTCTGGATATTTGCAAAGGTATGCAAAGGCTGGGGGTCTTCAAAGTGCTTGTGACATGAAAAAGGCTGGGGTTCTTCAAAGGGCTGACGGCTCTGGTTTCTACAACAAGGTTGCTAATCTTTCCATGATAATAGGCAGCTCCCTGATGGGGAGGATGGGCCACATTTCCAGGTGAGCTCCCAGGACTCACACGCAACTCCCAGCTAGGCCAGAATGCGCCCTCTTTAATCAGAACAAAACAATCACGGTTAATACAGCATGATTAATATTTCTTACAATTATAGCTGGCCCCCAATATTCTATTTCTGCCCTTATCAAGGACACAGCAAGAAGGCAGCCATCTACAAGCCAGGAAGAGAGCTCTTATCAGGAACCAAGTTGGCTGGCACCTTGATCTTGGACTTCTCAGCCTATAGAATTGTAAGAAATAGAATTGCTTAAGTCATTCAGTCCATAGTGTTTTGTTATGGCAGCCCCAGCAGACTGATACACCATATCCTGACCGCCACCACTTCTCTCCTCTCCTCTTTCAAAAGATCTCAACAGAGGCGATTCTTTTGTGTATGGGGGAATGGTATGGTACGAATCCCCCAAGCTCTCAGAGTATCATATGTCCCCATTATCCTATCTTTCATTAAAATATTACTACCTCATGTTTCATATTTGGATTTCTCATTGGTCTAGACACTGTGCAGCCAAACACCCCTCTGTGCAGCCTCAGGGTCTGGCACTGTGTCTGACACAGTGATGTCTCCATGAATATTTTGTTAAATTGACTTGACCATTTGAAAGGGCAGGTTATGTTCACTCAGTCTTCCTTCTCCTAGCTATAAAAAAAAAATCTGTATTGAACTTTTGGAAAAAATATATTGAAGAAAAGACCAAGAAATAACAAATTCAAGGGCAATGAACTTGTCTATAAGAGAATGAATGTTCTTTTATATGATTTACAAATATCTATGAGACTGAAACCAAAGAAAGAAAGGAATTGCAAAAGGATTTCTAAGTCCTTTATAAATCCTCTATGAGTCATATTACATAGTGGCTAAGGGCAAGGGTTTTAGACTTGGGCTGCCTCCACTGGAACCTGAGCTTGCCACTTACCAGGTGTGTGACTAACTTCTTTGTCATGCATCTCCTCAGTTGCACATTGGGGATAATAAATAGTACCTGATTCTTAGATTTGTTGGGAAAATTGAATAAATAAACAGGTAAAAGTTCTTAGACTAATATTCAGCAGATACTAAGTACTTGATAAGTGTTAGCTATTTTAATTTTTTAATTTAGTAAAACACGTTTAAGGAAAGGCAAGCTGTTGGTTTTATTACACAACAAGCCCCAGATTAAGGGCTGGGACTGTTAAGAATTATTGATTTCCTTGGCCTCTCTTTCTGAGGCTGCCATCTCAAACACACAATATTTTATTTTATTTATACCTCACTGTGTTCCAAAAAGGATTTCAGGGAGCTTATAGATGAACATAAAATACAACAAGAAACATGAGTTAAAGGCACAATGAAAGAAGAGAGAAAAACAAGAGTGAGGACAAAGTTGGGCTAGGAATAAATACTACATTACTAAAAATTATGAGTATGGGAAGGCTTAAGATGAAATACTAAATCAAAAGCTAGGGTAGGAATGATATTTTAATTTCTCCTTCATCCCACCCATTTTTCCCTCAAGATGATTTAAATGCTCTTTTAATATTTTAAAACCAAAATTATTTAAGTTACTTTCAGCCTCAAATAGTTCTATACTAGTAGATGAATACTGATTTTTCATCTTTTGGTTCATGAAGCTATATGTAAACTTGCAAATAGATATACATACAAATTAATGGGATGAAGAAGCTTAATATTGATTAAGGACCTATGACCTGCTGGATACCACCCCAAGCTTTTACCCAAATTATTCCACAACCCTGTGAAGTAATTAGATTTCCATTGTACAGATGAAGTACAAAGAGGTAGAGTGATTTTCTCAACTTATCATAGTTATACTTAGTTAAAACTCAAACCTATGTCTCTCTCTGATGCCTAAACTGCTATCCCCATATCAGGGGTAGATTTTTAAGAGATAATACACACATTTGCCCAAAGACATCAGAGTAGTTCTAAAAGGTTCTTTAAATACTCAACTTCTTGGTTTCATTTTCCTATTGAGAGATTTTCTTTGTAAGTGATGTGCATCATTACTTGGCTTTGTTTACATAATTATCCTTTCAGGGAGTAGATGAGAAATTAGAGGTGGTTGGAAAAACAGTCTTGCAGAGATATACAGGGCTACAGAAATCACTCAGAAGGTTCCAGATCATCTGTTCAAGTGTAAGAAAGCCAGGTATCTGGGAAGCTAATGGATGTTAAGATCTAGGAGTAAATATAAGAAGTTAAAGCCTATGGCAGGATCAGAGATCTTTAGAAATGTGTTTGGAGCTAAGGGGGAAATGAAGATAAAGTCATGATGTTAGTTTTATTCAATTCTGAACACTAGGAAATGACAGTAATCGAGAAGTATGAATACCCATAGGTAACAAACTCAAAAAGTACAATGAAGGAAAAAGTTAAAATTGACATATCTGTCTAGTCATTCCTTCTCATGACTGCCCCCTCCCAGTAAAATAGAAGATTGTCATTAATTTATTAATGACACAGGAGCAGTTAGATTTAGCTTGTGAAACATTGGGTCTAACCATATTAACTAAGGTTAGTTCAGTTCTCTGACTAGTCCGTGAATTTAAAAAAATATTTTTTCATGACTGTAACTTTGCACATGACTTTCAATATGTCTTCATTGTACTGTTCCTCCCTTGATGCATTATCCTAAAACATTCTTATGTATCCTGTAAGTCTTAAAATTAAAAAACTGGTCATGTACTAAACCTGACAAGCTCAGGGGAGTTCTGCATGGCGGGTCTTACAAAGAGACCTAAAGTAACCATATAGGATGGTCTGAAATTAAAACTTCCAAACTAAAAACGAGTTATGGAAGTAGTCATGTCCTTGGTGGGTATCTTCCTTGACAAAGGTCAATCTTTACTTAACTGAGCCTGCCTATGGTCTTTTTGTATCTGTGATACCACCTTTGGAATATCAGTGTAATATCCTTTTTATCAATCCCCTCAGGGCACAATTTTTCACCAGAACAAGAGACCACAGAATCCCTCGTTGTTACTGTCATCGTCTTAATTATTATTAACTATTGTATACTCACCACTGTAAAAGAAGTATGTATTTATTCATTTTACTTTCTATCCAATCTTAGAGATTTCCCTGCTTTGCTTTCTCCTACCTCCCTAATCTATCATCAATGGATTTCATGTAACCTCCTTATGTTTTTCCCTTTGACTCCGATGTATAAAATAAGTGGTAAAACTACCATTTTCCCAGAGCCTTTTCTCAATCTGTTGAGTTGTGCTTCCCAGCAATTGTAGTCAGTTCGGCTCAAATAAACTCATAAAAATTCATATAGTTTTGGACGTTTCTTACATCAACATATTTTTAATTTAAAAATATTTTTAAAGATTCCGCTCAAATGCTATTTCATCTGTGAAGCCTTCTGTTATGGTCTGCTTCCTATATGTTTTCACGGAAGTGTTAGACTTTTCTATATTAGTAGTTATCATATTGCATGGTAATTATTGTTTCCATGTCTATCTCTCAGACAAGCCCATGAACTTCATAATAACAGAGTCTTTTTTTTTAGGGGCTAACGCAGAACACAATGAATTTACTTTTTTATCTCAATGGATTTACTTATTCTAGACATTTCATATGAATGGAATCATGTAATATATAGCCTTCTATGTCTGATTTCTTTCATTTAGCATTCTTTCAAGGCTCACCTATGTTACAGCATGTATTAGTACTTCATTCATTTTTTGGCTGAATATTATTCCATTGCATGGATATAACACATTTTATTTGTCCATTTATCAGCTGATGGATACTTGGGTTGTTTCTAATTTTTTGCTATTATGAATAATGCTGCTTTGAATATTTGTGTATGAATTTTGTGTAGACACATATTTTCAGTTCTTTTAGGTATGTACATGGGCATGAAATTGCTGGGTCATATGGTAACTCTATGCTTAATTTTTTGAGAAACTGCCAAACTGTTTTTCAGTGACTATACCATATTACATTCTCAACTGTAATTTCTCTACATCCTAAT